AAAAAAACATGCAAATGATTAACATTGCAGTGCATGTACAAATTATTTGAATTAGTTATACTTGGAAGCTTTATTTAAAAAAAAAAAAAAAAAAAAAAAAAAAAAAACAGTGGGCTATTTTAGGTTGTGTGCAGGGGCATTGTCTTAGAGCATGCATCGCATGCCTATTAATATGAAATTATGAAAAGCAATTATTATTTTTTAGCTCAAATCTTATTATAAAATCCTTATTAATTATTCAGATATGCAGCTTTGCATACAATTATTGATTTTATTTAGCATCATAAATTTAAAACAAAACAAATTAAATGCTGTCTTGTCGGTTTCGTGCTTCCATTATGCTGTTCAAATACCAGCATCATTAACTAAATGATACATTTTACAAGGGCAAAGGGATAAAAAACATTTTTCCTAGCATCATGAAAGAACTACTGAAGTGCTCCCTATCTGCATGCCGTGGGAGTGTCGCTTGTAGTCAGTGTTCATTCTTCAGCACTAAATTTGATGCAATTTATTACTGCACCTTAGCTTATTATTACCCATTTATTATTTTGAAAAGATGAGTTTAATGGTTCAAAGTTTGCATTGTATTGTAGACATAAGTTTAAAGTTTTGTTTAAAATTTTATCTTTAAAGCTGGCTTATTTTAAAGATGATTATTCTTATTTCTGGGTTTCTTTCAAAGTTACATCATATAATGAAACTCCTACCCCCCCCCCCCAAAACTGGAAGTATGGTTGGAAATGAAGGAAAGGGAATTTTAAAAGGTAAAATTCAGCCAAAGGTTTTCTTCTGAAAAATAAATATTCTGAAAAGGGTTGGAATCTAACAGGCATGTACAGTAGTAATACATAATGTAAAAACTCAAGCTATATACGAGGGTAAGTTGAAAAATAAGTTTCCCCTGTCGACTGTGGTCAGAGTTGTGTATGAAAGTCAAAAAATAGAATGAGACATTAAAGATATGACATACCTTTATTTTATTATTCTCATATGAGTACATTGAGACATTTGTCATATCGCTTGATAAGCTTCAAAAAAGTCCTCCAAGAAAAATTCACGCTTTGCATGTGGAAGAAGCGTTGAACGGCTATGGGCAAAAGGCGACATAGCAGGAAAACACGCAAGTCACCGATACACCATTGGGTAGAGGTTGCTGCAAATCAAGCAGATGGCGCTGTTGCAGCGGAGACCAGCCTCTCATTTGAGCCCCGGTAGGTATGGAGAGAAGGTGCAATTTGAATTCGTGGTCAAAGGAGAAAGTGAGAGCAGTTACCTGCTATGAATGGGCACGTGGAGTATCAGGAACAGAAATTCATAACCGCCTCGTGGAAGTCTATGGGCCAGGTGTGATGTTGAAGCAAATGGTGCGGAGATGGTATCGCACATTCAGTGATGGACGTCAGCAAGTGGAGGACATACCGAGAGCTGGACGGACGCGCACGCCCACTACAGATGCAAATGTCAGGAAGGTGGATGACAAGATTAGAGCGAACCGGCATATCACCATCGATGAAGTAGCGGAAGAACTTGGAATCTCACATGAGTGAGCTCAAAACATCATCCACGACATTCTTCGATACAGAAAAGTGTCAGCACGATGGGTGCCCTGACAATTGACCTCAACACACAAGGAACAATGCATGGGGGTCAGCTTATAACATCTCGTGTGTTACCATGAAAATGGCAATGACTTTCTGTTTCGGATTGTGACGGGGGATGAAACGTGGGTCCACCATTTCATGCCAGAATTGAAGGCCGCATCTATGGAGTGGAAACATCCATCATCACCTGTCCGAAAGAAGTTCAAGACAACTCCCTCTGCAGGTAAAGTGCTCCTCACAGTTTTCTGGGACATCCAAGGAGTTTTGTTGCTGGACTTTTTGGAGGTTGGAACCATCAATGCTACGCGCTACTGTGACACCCTGTCGAAATTGAAAGAGGCGATTCGGAAAAAGAGGCCTAGCCTTCTCACATCTGGCGTTCTGCTGTTGGATGACAATGCCAGACCACATTTGGCGACGGCAATGCAAAACCATATTGCAACTCTTGGTTGGGAGCGCCTACACCATCCGCCATACAGTCCTGATCTCGCACCAAGCGACTTCCATCTGTTTCCGGCTTTGAAGGAAAATCTCGGGGGAAGGCGCTTTGGAAGCAATACTGAAGTGAAACAAGCCCTTCAACGCTTCTTCCATATGCAAAGCCCTGATTTTTTCCTGGAGGGCTTTTTGAAGCTTATCAAGCGATATGACAAATGTCTCAATGTACTTGGTACCCATGTGGAAAAATAAAGGTATGTCACATCTTTAATGTCTCATTCTATTTTTTGACTTTCATACACAACTCAGACCACAGTCGACAGGGGAAACTTATTTTTCAGCTTACCCTCGTACAAATTACATAATGTAAGGAAACTATAGTTGAAAGTTAATTAGTATGGGTCATAAGACATGAAACATTTTGCTTTAATCATGACTTGAAGCCAATATTCAGATCCTGTACTTAAAAACTTTTTTGAGTGTAATCTTAATTCTAGGTAGAGTACACTGCTGCTTTAAATATGAGAGACTGCATTAAGCAAATGAATTGCAATATTAATCAAAAATATTAAAGCCACATTTTCTGTAGCAGCTAGTATAGCTGATACTGGATATAAAATGTATGACTCTATTTCCCTCAGAAGAATGCTTGGGGAAAACCCTCTTGTCAGAATGCAAACTTATAAGGAAGAGGAATTTTTTGGACTATATTCATTCAGTCAAAATGTCTTTAAGTGGATTTTGAAGGCAAACTAAAAATGCATTTATATCTCTGCAATAAATGCTAATAAAAGTATTTACTTTTGGTTTATTGGGCCATTGGACTGTGTGGTGGTTAGCAGAAGCTGATTCTCAGTCTGAATTTCAGAGTGAAGGTTTGAATCCTGTGCAAGGCTTAGTTATTTATGTGCCCTTACTGCTTCTCGCGAGTGTAATATCAAAACATCCATAGGACCCTGTACAGCATTCTCTGTGAAAAGATGGCTAATGTCTGATGGGTTCAGCTGTTCATAATGCATTCATAATTTTACGAAATGCATTTCACTCTAGTCTATGAATTATTTAATTTCAGTGCTCCTTATTTTGCCCTCAAGAGGATGATGATTCTCCTCACCCAGGATTTGGCGATTGGGTCCCCTAAAAACCCCAGTTGCTGTTTAAAAGGGGGAGTATGTAAGGTATTTCTCCCTCCTTCCTAGCATGCTTTCATGGTGTCGTGGTTCTGCACACTGGGATGGTATTCCAGAGGTCTGTGGTTCGATTCTCAGTGAAAGCAATTTCTAATTTTTAATCTCTCCATTTTTTCCAATTAATCTAATGTCTCTACAGTGGCACCCGAACTAAAAGGGTTTTGGATGAGGTTTCTTCACACCCAGGATTTGGCGATTGGGTCCACTAAAAACGCCAGTTGCCCTTTAAAAGGGGGAGTATATAAGGTACTTCTCGCGCCTTCGTAGCATGCCTTCATGGTGTAGTGGTTCTGCACACTAAGCTGGTATTACAGAGGTCTATGGTTCGATTCCCGGTGAAGACGTTTCCTCTTTTTCGTCTTTCCTGCTTCCAGATCATCTAATGTCTCTATACACTTAAATATAAACATATATTATTGTGCAATCTGCAAAAATCAGCCAAAACTGAATTATGACTTTAAATTTGGTGAACTTATTTTACATGTTATGTGATATTTAAAAATATATTGATATGCATAACAATATATTAAAACACCAGTTTTTGAATACATGTAATTCAAACTTCCATTCATTAATATATTTTTTTTAAGTATGCCCTTCAGGAAAATTCTGGATACATGCATGTTTGCATGTAATTGTGCTTTTTCCTGCTGTTCATTTGCATAAGGCTCCCATCTGTGGCCGAGTGGCTAAGACTGCTGAATATTTGTGATTCAAACCAGATTTGAACCTAGGTGAATGGGCTGGCTGCATGGTTGTTTTTCGTGGTTTTTCCCATTTATAATGACAATATGAGCCAATTTCCTTTTGAAAATCATCCACAAAGGCAAACCTTCCCTTAGGTAGATAACCCTAATGTGCTTTGTCATATTCAAATAACCTAACCTTTGTGTAGGAAGCTTTACTATACCTTGTCAAGAAAAACAGCAGTCATTCAAGCAATTTTGTAATGTATTCAAGCATTTTTGTAATGCATTTGGTCATCTTTACATCTGTACCTGATTTTTATAGCACATCCCTAATATAACTGTATGCCTAACATGTACAATAATAGTAAAAAGTGTCCCGCTTAGTCTCAGCAGCCCCCACCAGGCACCTTCTTTCCATGTTCTGGTCCTTACTTCAATGTTCCTCGTTTCGTGGCCAATCCCCGAAGGACACAGTACTAAGCTCTTTATTTATATTTATTCACATATTTTTTTTAAATTCCATCGACGGGATCTAACAGGCTGAAAAGCACCTAACCCAGTGGGCCAGCTGTTCTGTCGATGGTGAAAAGAAAGAAAGTCATTCAAGCATGTTCCCAAGTTTAGCAGAGAAAGCATTGTAGCTTAAAGAGAAGACTGCTGGATTTCTTTCTGAAAAATGCTCGTATTAAATGAAATCAAGTTTCAATGATGCAAATATGGATTTGGCAAATGCAGAAGACATGGACCAATTAATTGGTGTGATTGTGCCAACCTTATTTCTCCAATAACTGAGATGACAGCCATATTGTGTACATGGTAGTGGCTGATAAAACAGTAATATCAAGAACCTTAAAAGTATAACTGTACTGTGTATAAAAATTAGAGTGTAACTGTGTATAAAAATTAGAGCCTATTAGCAATAATGTGGATCACCATTCAATATTGTCTGTGGAAGAGAAGAATATTTGCAAAGCATCCATTGCTGAGATTACCAGTGATTCTGCACCACAGCCATATGCATTGGCAATGGTGTGTTGATAAATAAATGTGAGCAAAGGGCATGACATTGTCGTTTCAGATGAATGTTTGTTAGCGTACAACCTCATGCTGGTCATGTCTGCGTCTGATAGTACTGTAATGAAACATGTCATGGCCCTTACAATTGAGTATCACCATACCAGTCTGTCAGTCTGTCTTTTTAGGAACCACTCGATTTTATTCCCACACTCACCTAATATATACTACTCACATATTCAATAGCCACTACCACGTCTTTGAAATTTTGGGGCCCATTGTTCTCCTTTGTTTTTCAAGACTTGCCTATGCCCAAGTTTCAAAAAGATAACCTGTGACCACATGTAGCACACAGTATTCAATAGTTCTTCGTTCATTACAGATCAAGTTGCACTACTGCCTTGACGCAATCATTCTCCTTATATGTCACCCATCAAATGTGTCTACTCAATGAATGGCAAACGAGTGGCCCAGAATGCACCTTCTGCATATGATAAATGAGCTTTGACAATGTGCAGAAATAGCTAGCTTGACATACCCCAAGTGCTTATCCAAAAGCTCTTTTTTTAATGTCAAAGCATGCTACAGCAGTTATTCCCAGCCATAGAGCTGCACAAAGTACTTACTCCTTCATCTTTCACCAATCAAATAAAGCTGTAATTTTAATTGGTTTTCTCTTGTAGCTTTTATTATTTTTCCAGTAATATGGATTTGATGACTGTTTTCTCGTGATACTAAACATTTTGAATGGCCAGCCATATGTAATTGTTACTTTTACAGAGATAGTTTATAAAAAAATAATAGTAACTAAAGTGTGAAAATCTTACATTCGTATAAATACAAAATAATAAATGATAATTACATACTTTGTTTAAAAAGACTGCGTGTCTCATATTTTCTTACACAGCCAAGTCATAATTAATATTTTTGTAAAATATGCAGAATAAGTTTCTGAAAAGTATCCATCACAGTAAAGTACTAATCTTTAAAGCTACAGTTTTTATAACTGCAGATCTTACCATTAAAATGTAACAAAGTCTTTGTCTTACTACAGTGTCTTTTTATTTAGCAGTTTATAAATTTCATGTTCTTTTTATAAGTCTATCAGGCTTAGTGCATAGCGAATCAGTTATGTGCATTTGTATTAAAGCTTATACCATATATTTTCCATTATTTTGCTGTAGTATTTTGTACTATTTATATATACTTGTATTTAAAGGTATTATCATGAAGTATGGTTTTGCATTTGATTTTCATTTAAAATGGCAATAAGGTACTTTCTTAAAAACTAAATTTGAATTTTTTATGGAATAAATTTGATTTGTGGAATAATTTGATATTGCTGATTTTTCTCACAAATGTTTTATTATTTCTCTTAAAATTAATGTATTGTCCTTTCATTGTTTGATTTTTCACTTGACCTCTTCCTTCAAGAAATGTCATTTAGAAAAATATTTTTATATTAAAATAGATTTTAGATTTTTCTTAAGTAAGAAAATGTAAACTGTATTCATTTTTGTTAACGTTATTCAAAAGACCATAATTGAAATAGCTGAATAATACATATTTTAGTCTATATAATCTCCCCAAATTATAATCAAAAAAAAAATATTTTAAATAACTTGTCTGAAGTACAAATGATTGGTGTGTTTTCAGATTGTGTGAAATTCGTAATACAGCATTAATATGACTACTGGTATTTTTATTATTATTAATCTTTTATATGTGAAAATGTTTCTATTGCATGTTATTTCCCTCTTTCTTGACCAGGTAAAAAGAATAATTCTGAAAACTTTCTTATGCATATTGTTTGTTTAAAACTTATGTTTATCTCCAGGTATATCATCCTAATTTAATTTAAAATTCTAAAAATGGTCCTCTTTATTTTCCCTCCTCCCAGGGACGTTCATTTTAAAGAAATGCTGGATTTGTTAGCAATGCTTAAAAAAGGTGACTGTGATGGTCTAAAAATCAGAACTGGGAGGCTTCAGGTACTTTATTTGAAACTAACTGCATTTTTCTATCAATTTCAAATGATATTATTATGCCTGTTTTGCTATGACTTTTTTATTAAATTCTTCTTTTCTTTATTTAGAATTTGATATCTTCTTCATGCATTGAACATTTAGATTTTTTACATTTATTAACTGCTGATGACTTACCGAATGTTGAGGCATTTCAGCAGCTAGAACATGCATCAATAGGATACCAAAGTCTGACAGATATCCCAAAAGCTATTGTATATAATGAGCCTACCTATGATTTTTCTGTAAGTTCTGCTATGATAATTTGTGTCTTTAATTGATAAAAGGCTTGAAATGTAATAATTTAGTTTCTTAAAATACTCTTGATGATCATATCCTAAAACCACTAAAAGAATTTTGTTAATCATGCAACCTGTACTAATAAAGATTCTACGTAACATACGGAGTACCACACCACAAATGCTTCCATGTTATTTTACAGAAACAGTGGTGGAGATATGTTAATTAATTAATGTAATGATTATTTTTTGGTTACGATGCACAACATTCACATATATATATATCACTGAATGACTCGTAAAAACGGCCCTTTTAAGAAACATTCCTGTTTTTGTTTTGTAACACTGGAGGCAATTTGAATTTAATGTAAATAAAAATTGAATAGGTTATTTAAATTAATTAATGGAATCTTTCATTTGTATTTTCTTAATTATTTGTATATTTATTTTCATATTAAAAAATTATGTTTAGTGGTGCAATCTAAGAACTAAACAACTAAAAGTGGTGGATCATATGTGTCATCAGTACTGTTTGGTCTTTCTAGTTTATATGTTGTGAGTTTATTTGTAAAGTTGCAGATATTAGTGAGAATTTAGTTTTATTAGTCACATTTATTTATTTAATATAGCTAAACAATGGAGATGGTGTAGTGTTGAGCTAACTATATATTTTTCTTGAATAGTATGTAGTATTTACATTTAAAAGCTGTTAATCTTTATATAGTGAGTGGTCAGATTGTGAGCACACTTTTACTTAAGTTTTGAGTTAGCAGTCCATTGTCATCCCCCCCTTTCTTCTGTTAAATTTTTATTTATTTATTTATTTAATTTTTTAAGCACTGAGTCAGTTAAGTCTGACCAAGCAACTCTGGATGTTTCATGGTCACGTTCAACATTGAGCCATATGAATGTAACAATGGTTTAATAAGAAGTTCACCATAAAAAATGCAGCTAAGAATATATGAATGATATGAAGGAATATGAGAGCCATGTGAAAAGAAATTTTGCCTCTTTGCACAGCTAATTTTGTGGATTTTAGTCAACAGTTAATCACATCAACCAGTTCCAACAGCAGCGTAATACTGAAATAAGAAAGATTTTTAAACATATATGTACAGATTGGTTATCTTTAGAGAAATGTTTGTATTGAATCTTCAGCCATTTCATATATATATTTTTAAGAACGAAGTAATGCTTCTAGAGTTAAGTTAAAAGGCTTTGTTGAAAGTTATAAACTACCTGAAGTAAATGAAGATGTGGCTACTACTTCTGCTTTTAAAAACTAAGCATTAAAAAAACATTTAATTTTCTTTAATATTGAGGGACATAATTTGCAATTCTCTAATGAGTACCAAAAAATGTGTAATGTATACACAAAGGTCTCTCCATTTCTTGGCTAGGGAAACATGTGCCCAGTTACTGTGAGTTTATTTCATGAAGAATCATTATTTATGTTTTTTTTTGGGGGGGGGACTATAAGAAAACTTTTTACTATTTTTGAAGCTTCATTTTGTCGTCATTCAATGTTCTTAACCCTCTTAGCCTTGAAGCTTCAAAGTTTCCCAAAATGTTATGAATGAGTGGTTTATATTTATTTATTTATAATTGTAATTCAAAAATGACCCTCTCACTTTGCACATTAATTCCTTTTATTACAAAATATATCCAACCCCCAAATAGGATGCAATAGAAGCTGGCTGAAATTTTCGTGCTAACAAATTGGAAGGCAATCCTCCTATATAAAATGTTACATCCATAATCCTGGAAACTTAACACAGTTCTTCAGCAAAAAATTCCATTTATCTATGTTTTGCATTAAGTGATTAGCAGTTTGTTTAAAAATATTTTTTCGAAATTTGTAAAACCAACTTTTGCTTTGCCTTCTGATTCTGTATTTCATGTGAACTATATTAAAATGGAAAATCAAAAAAGTGTTATAGATTTATTTTTAGAGGCAGGTGGTAAATGGCATTGAATCAATGCTGGTGATGTTATTGGTGTAGAAGTAAGTGGCTGCTGTTATGATTGCACAATCCTTGCTCTCATTTGTGTTCCTAGGACACCATGACTATCCCTTCCATGATCCATTGTTACCAACATTGAGCAACTACTGTATTGCTCCAACCGTGGTGGCTGATATGCCAGCCAGCATGCTTTCTGAGGTCTATTATAAGCCCCTTCTCAAAGTCCAGCAACTGTTTGTACTGCCACCAGTTATGTCTCAGAGGCATCTCTAGTTACAATAGCCTTATGGCACCAGCAGTCATGCTTTCAAACTCCCAGCTGCGGATCTCATATGCGTATAGCGCGCTTACCATTGTTTCATTGGCATCAAAATTTAAATCATTTGCATATCTCTTACCAGACTACATTCCTGCCAAGTTTCATGATTGTGACTCAATTTCTTCTTGAGTGCATATATTTTTTTGTGAAAGAGTGTATATTCATTTAATAACTTCTGTATGCATGTATAAGTATAGATACATACCTGTTAGCAATGCTTGATATTTTTATACCAACTTCAGTTACTAAATATCTAAATGCCTGAATCTCATGACAGATTCTAGACTTTTCTAGAATAATTCTATCTATATGACAATCTAATATTGTGATTTATAAAAAGAGGAACAACAAATTAGGATAGTGTTTCTTAGTACGTTAACAAGGCTAAAGTATCAATAAATAATTAGGAAAAAGAAGAAAAAGAATAATAACTATTTTGAGTGCTTCAGTAGCATTCAGTATATTCAGGTTGCCCACCAGTGGCCAAGCGGTAAAGTCGCTGAACACTGGTAGTTCGGTCCGAGGTTCGAATCCCGCGAACGGGCTGGCTGCATGGGTGTTTTCGTGGTTTTCCCCATGTGTAACGTGTATACGAGCTAGTTTCCCTTACAAAGTCTTCCACGAAGGCATCCCTCCCCTTAGGCAGATAGTCCTAGTGTGCTTTGCCATAATTAAATACACCACCAGTATATTCAGTAGTATTTTAAGTTCATGTGGATTTCAGAATTCCAGATTTTTTTATAATATAATAACAGGTAGATTAAGTGGATTTTGTCTCCATTTCTGCATATTATTTGCATTGTTTTCTAATTCAGCTATCCCAAACTATTGTGAGTCAGTTATCTAGTCTAAATTGTATTCAGTTTGATTAAGCATAATTCTGCTTTTTGCTGTTGATCTGTGAGATTATCCAGGAAACATATGACCTGAATCATAATACATTATTAAAGCAAACAAACTAACAACTTTTTATGATGAAAGAAATATGCCATGTGAGTGTTTGTGTGTATACACTGAAGTGCCATTGAATTAGGGATAGCAGGTCAATAACAAGTGGGGGACCTCTACTGGTCTTGATATTGACTGCCACATGACAAGGCATAGATTCAACAAGTTTGTAGAAGTATTCCATGGGAATGCATTGCCAAATATCTGCTAGAGCTATCCATAATTCAGGAAAGGTTGCTAGTGTTGTGTGGCATATGCTTCTGCACCTTTCTCCAGTTCATCCCAAAGGTGCTCAATAGAGTTTAAATCGGGTCATCTAGGTGGCCAGATTATGATAGGAAAGTCAAAGGAATGCTCATCCAACCAGGCAGGCAGTCAACAATTCTGTGTTACAAATCGCACTGAGGGAAATTGATATAAATACCAAAGATCCCAAACATTGCCAAGAGAAAACCTTCTGGACCATGATTGAGCCACCATGGCCATGTACGTTTCCAGCCTGGCATGCAGTATTCATGGCTTCATGAGCCTGAGACTATATTCTCAGCCTCCTGCCGGTGTTAAGTTGTTGGAATTGAGACTGTTTCACTCCATGCTACTCGTTTCCAGCCCTCTAGAGTGCATTGTCTAATTTCTCTTGCCCAGACAGAATGTGCAGCCTAGTGGTATACATTGAGCATTCGTGCTCTTGGTGGGCCGCGTACAGTGAAGTGAGCATCGTACAGTCCATTTACTGACTGTATGACTAGTGCTTTGATTCAAGTGGATGGTTAATTTTAGCTAATATTTGGCTTCGAAGTCTGCATTCAATATGGCTAACATATCTCGCACCATGCTTATTCAAGGCTAATTGTCCTTATCAGTTTGCTCAATTGCTAGTTTTTTCTCCACCATCGTTGCATTTTCGGTATATTCTTGACACTGTGTACCTTAAAAATTTTAGCTCTCTGGTGATTTCAGAAATTGAATGGCCCATGTTCAATTGCCTATTATTTGTCCACGATCAAGGGCATCAATATCAGAATTACCCGTACTGGCAATTGAAACAACTCATTAACAACTACAGTATTTGTTGTATAAGCAGTTACCATAGTGATCTCAACATGAGCATAAATACGGCACAGCGCTACACAATTTGCATAGCCATGTCTGTCCCTAATTCAGTGTCACGTCAGTGTATCTCTCTCTCTCTCTATATATATATATATGGATCTATTTTATATTATATAATTTACTTATTAATGGATTATATAGTATATTATCTTTTTTGAGAAAGGTAGTTGAATTTTTTAAAAAATGAAAAAGTAATCAGCAAACCAAGAAATTATCATCTCTGACTGGAAATGGGTTGACTTTTCAAGGGGAACAAAGCATTCCCTGATCAATTAGCAATAATTAATAAATGTGAAGGTGTTTTGTCTTTTACTCAAGAAAGAATTATTGTGCCAAACGGGTATTTAGTAAGATGAGTTCAAGCTAAGTAGGTAGATTTTAAGTGAGATGAATTTAAGTACTTGGATGACTATCAGTTAAAAGATTTGTAAATAGTGTAATTACTGAAGTTTTTGTATATAATGTAAAAATCATAATTTCTGATATTTTCTTTATTGCTGTTACTAAAAAAAAAATGGGCCTATTTTCAAATTTTCTCAGCCTGCTTAAACGCTCTTGAACAGTGAAAATTACTAGTACTTGTTTCCTCTTTCTGCTACGGCGGTTAGCCAGAAATTAGTTAATTTCCTTTGTTTAGTCAGTTTTTCACCAGACGCCTTTTGCACTCAAAAGAGAGTTCCACAAACACTTCCTTCATTCTAAAAATAGATTCTTAAAGTCCCTGACTGCCATTAACTCATTCTCTCAACCCTTCTCTCTCAATCCTGATTCAAATTCCATTCTGGGTTCGAAGACAGTAACGGACATATCTCAGTTTTAACACTCACAAGCACAAGTTAATTCATTCATCTTCTGGCCATTTATGTATGTTATGTACCTTTCCTTTTTTACATTTTATTATACCTTCTTGTGTTCTGTAAATATCTTTTTTCAAGTTTTCTACTTGTTTAATATGTAACAATTTTTTTGCAAAGATTTCATTCTGTTTATTATGTTTATAAAGATTACTTTGAATTAACATGATTAAAAGCAGAGTGTTGGGGGTTACTTTACTCAAGTAAGAAAATAATACTACTACTCACTCTAAAATAATATCTCAAGATTTTGAATTTTTTTTAAACTTAATGGAATTGTCACTTTCATAATGAATACAGTACTTAAATTCATCTCACTTAAAATCTACCTACTTAGCTTAAACTCATCTTACTAAAGGCCTGTTTGGCTTAATAATTCATACTTGAGTAAAAGGCAAAACACCTTTGCATTTATTAATTGTTTTTAATTGATCAAGGGTTAGTTTGTTCCCCTTGAAAAGTCAACCCATTTCCAGTCAATGATGATAATTACTTAGTTCGTTGATTACCTTTTTCATTTTTTAACAGTTTCCATTTTCAATTTATTCATGATTCATATCTGATTTTTCATTTTTAAAGAAATTTTGAAGATTGATTTTTTAAATATGATTATAAGTTACTTCATTCCACTAAAATTCTACTACACTACCTTTCTCAAAGGAGATAATATACAGTACAAAATCTTTAATCCGGACTCGTCGGGACTTTGGTGATTCCGGATTATAGAGCATCAATTTAAATCTGGTAAGATGGTATGCAGAAATTATAAAATTAAAAATATGAAACCATAATTTATGAGATAAAGAGCAATTAAGATCTAAAGGGTATAAAAATTTACAAAAAAAAAAGCTTAATATTTATTTGTTTACTTTATTAAATATTTCTTTCAATGTAAGTTGTTTAAGTTGCTTCGTTTTATGCGCTAATACTTTCTCTTTAATTCTATAAACAGACATAATTTCTTGTTCAGTTACAAAGTTCCGCTGTTCAAGTCCTGTACTTGCTGTGTTGAGAATACCGACTAACTTGTCAATCGAAATTTTTTTCATTTTCACTAACCTTTCTGTCACTTTCTTCATGCCTTTATCCATTTTTTGCAGCAATTTCATTTTTTGTTTGATGGACACCGAAACATGCTTTCGCTTTGTAGATCCTTTAGCAGCTCCAGAATCAAAACTCTTTTTGACATAATCGAAAGTTCAAGCTTACTTTTTATATATACAGTTAAAATATATATACAGTTTACTTATATATATACAGTTAAAAGTTTTTAATCCGGATGTTCATAATCCGGAATAATCTATAATCCGGACCTCAAAGCTACAAACTTTCTGCGCATGCGTAAACGCATAATGCCTTTACGCATGCGCGTAATACCTTTACGCATGCGCATAATATGTTTACGCATGCGCGTTTAATGTATAACCAATTATATAAGCTAAGCTGAAATTATCTCATTATCTATTTCACTCGCGTTATTTCAGATTGTGTTGTTCCTTAATCTTCGAATTGGATCCGGCTTATTATTTTTTGCAGACTGTTAGAGCAATTTTATAAAAGTAAGCTTGAACTTTCAATTATGTCAAATAGAATTTCCGATTCTGGAGCTACCAAAGGATCTAAAAAGCAAAAGCATGTTTCGATGTCCATTAAACAAAAAGTGGAATTGCTGCAAAAAATGGATAAAGAATGAAGAAAGTGACAGAGAGGTGATTTGTTTCTCTAACCATTCCGAAATCTGTTTATCAATTTTACGCTGCTCTCCCGGAGGGGGGGGGACGTCGTGGTGCCCAATGAACTGAAAGTTGATCTGTCAGCACTATCCTCATCTTCAGGGCAGATGTTTTTATTTTATTTGGCTTATAATTCCTTACTAAATGCAGTATTTCATCTCGATGTACTCCGTCTTTGATATGATTTAAATCAAATTCCTCGTCATTAGAATTCGCTTCCGATAGCAAAGAAAGCGACTGAGGTTATTGAAAACGAAAAAATTACGATTGACAAATTAGTCGGTATTCTCGACACAGCAATTATAGGACTTGAACAGCTGAACTTTGTAACTGAACAAGAAATTATGTCTGTTTATAGAATTAAAGAGAATGTATTATCACATAAAAAACGAAGCAACTTAAACAACTTACATTAAAAGAAATGTTTAATAAAGTAAACAAATAAATATTGAGCTCTTTTTTTCTTTTTTTTTTTTTTTTTGTAAATTTTGATACCCTTTAAGATCATAATTGTTCTTTATTTTATAAATTACGGTTTCATATTTTTAATTTTATAATTTCTGCTTGCCATCTTACCAGATTTAAACTGATGATCTATAATCCTGAAAAATCGATAATCCGGAATCGCCGAAGTCCCGACGAGTCCGGATTAACGACTTTTGAATGTATAACTTTTACATAAAATATACAACAAAGACGTAAACTGGCATGTCAAAAAAGCACTGGCAAAATTCTAACTGCCATGCAGATTCTGTTATGTTGGGGTCACATGTTTAGACTGATAAGAAATCCTGTTAGCATAAAGTCTACAGTGTTACTTCAAATTTTTTAAATCCTTATTTTGCTAATACTGTGATAAACGGCTTGAAAGTCAAAGGTGTTAGATGTTGAAATTCTTATTATTCAGCTCAGAAGAGGGTTTAACTTATCATGCTATAGGAATACAACCAGTGCTTAAATTGCGCCGGTACTTCTCAATTTTTAAGATAAATTACAATTTTAGCTGGAGCGCACCGGAGCCCTAAATGAGATGAGCTCCGGTACTTCTTTTTATAAAACTGAGCCACAATTTCAAGGGGAAAATTTTGAATTCGTAACGTTTTAGTTTAACAATAAGCAGACCTTGCAATACTCTATTTCCCTAGAAATACGAACTCATGAGAACATGAGACATTCAAGTAAAGTCCCCTCACTCACATGCCGAAACCTTTCCTTTTAAGAAGGTTTCATATTTTTAATCGTATAATTTCTGCATGCCATCTTACCAGATTTAAACTGATGATCTATAATCCAGAAAAATCGATAATCCGGAATCGCCGAAGTCCCGACGAGTCCGGATTAAAGACTTTTTTGACTGTATATATATATACATATACTTATGGACCTGTTTTTTATTTTTTATATTTATATTAGGAATTTAATCATCGTTCATCAAGAGATATCCTTGAGGCACTAAGTCATACTGACACGCTTCATGGTCAGAGTCAACTATTAGGAATATTATACTTTCGTGAAGGACCACAGTTTTGGACGGAAAATGGTATTTATTTTGCTTAATTTTGAAGATCATTTTATTTTTATATGCTTTCACAAGCTTTGATATTTTGTATCTATAATGATTAATATGTTTCAAGGGAAAATTTAGTCATTTTTTTTAATTGAGAAGATTGTGATATGAAGCATCAAGCAATGTTGAAAAACAAAATTGGACAAAATGTATAAAATTATAAAGTTTAAAAATAAGTAAATTATGTAAATTAAAATGAATTGAAAGATAATAAAGTTAATACATCATACTGACGATTAGAGGAAATAGAAAAGGAAAATATGTTTGAATACCATTCCAATAAAATTCAGTTCTTTATAATGTAGTCATAATGTTTCTTTTTTATGTGAAAATTCTAGTATTTTACACACACAATACTATAATTTTAAAATATATATTTAAAATTTAATATTTTATGGGAATTTTAAAATTTATTGGTTTTGAATTTAATTTCTATGGGTCTTTGTAAATTTGATTCTATATTTCTTACTTTCTATCTATAACTGTTTAATTTTCAGAAGCATATTTCATGGAAATAAGATTGGGATATTTTTTTTAATAAAAAAATTGATATTGTATTATGTATATATAATTTATTATAAGAATATATTATATAAATAATTATATGTAGATAGATATATATATATATATATTTATTATTAGAAAAGGTTTTTCTTGTATCATCCCCAAGGAAAAGAAATTTAATTAAAGCTATGAATTATTAGAAAAAATTTTTATTAAGTATTTCAAGTAGTATTTAAAGTATTTAGATTTCCGTTGCAGTAAAAATTATTTAAAATTTGTATAGTAAATTTTTTTAACCATAAAAATTTTAAGTATTAAAATTTAAAGTACTGAAAATGTAGCTATTGTCATTGATCGCAGATTAATTTACTTTTGTCAAGGGGAACAAACCAATCTACATCAATTAACAATAAAAGTTAAGTGAGAGTGTTTCATCCTTTTTCCAAGTAAGGATCAAATTAGTTATTTTGCTAGAATTATATCATAAGCTACTAACAGTACTAATTATTAGAAAAATATTAGTTTACTTAAGCCAATTAATTTTGTTTTAAACAAAATCTAAAATAAAAATGAGTAAGATATTCTTCTTAATTTAAGGTATTCGTTAAGAACTGAATTAAACGAGATTCTTATTTTCGAAAATATATTCCCTGACACTCTTACAGTATTGTAAAAACAGTACAAAAAACTTTTGATACTTATACAAAAGAAAACATTAACAGAAAAATGTACAAATGAATACATTATTTTAGATTAAAGGATTTTGTTATAATCAAACTCAAAATGAAAAGTAAAATTAAAATTTATAATTTGTAATTTCTTTTCTATTAATACATTAAATTAATTGTAGTTATTTATATACAAATTTAGGAACAATGCTAGGAGGAAAATTGAAATGAAACTTGTCTGCAAAATTTAAAACAAAATAATATGGTTATAAATGTAAATGCATTCAGTGATGGAATGTAATAAGTAGTTTGTTAAGTGTTGTTCTCTTCTTAAGATATGGTAGTCTTAAATTGGTGAGATAATCTTACAGTAAGTTCAAGCTGTTGTCAGGGATTAGTTTTTTATACTAAAAAAAAATTTTTGATAAAATTTTTAATCAAGCAGAAGAAATTAATTCATTTCTGGCGATGGTCCAGTGGAGTAGCAAGCATAACTGGTGCCCGGGGCAAAATACCTTTTTGGCACCCATTCCCCCCCCCCAAAAAAAATACAGTGATATGATAAAAATCTTGTTTAGAGACCATGTGGCGCCCCTCTGCGAGTGGCGGCCAGGGCGTCACCCCCTTGTCCCCCCCTCGCTATGCACTGCAATGGTCTAAGAAGCATAAAGAAGAAAGAGGTATCTTCACTGATAAACGGCTATTTACCAGACTGAGAGAAAAATGAAATAGACCCATTAATAAGTAACAGAATAGAATACCAGAAAAAAACTTGTAATTTACATTATGTACAAAAATTACTTACAAGTCTTTAACTAACAGATATCCAACTTATTTTGCTTTGTGAAGGTTTAGGAATAAATTGTCATAACCCTATTAGTTAACAGATTTAAATAGAATATTTAATGCCTGCTTTCTTAAGACGGTAATTATTATATATTTCTTAAGACAGTGATAAATTTATCTGGTACCAAACTATTTTTAAGTACTTGAATTAGTACTAATATCTCGCTTTGAATATCAAGTGTATCGGTAAAAATATTTTTGAATCGTTATGTTTGACTAATGAACTGTTTTAGTAATTACATTTCTAGAAATGTTTGAAGTCCAATTAATTAATTTGTTAGTTGCAAATTTAAAGTTCCCATTTTTGTCATAAAGTTATATTTGTATGTAGTTAACTATTTGAAGACCTAGAAATTCGATAACGTTTTGTGAAGAAGTTTTATTAAGAATGAGGCTTTCGGAATAAATTTGGGAATTTTCTATTTTGTTAAAATTATTAAAAGTGTTATGAGATCATCAATGTATCTGATATTAAATGCGTAATAAATTAAATCTTCTTCTTTAAGTGTTTTTTTTTATTTAAATTCTTGAATAAACAAAAAGAGATTAGAAATACTCGTAGACGTATGATTTCCAATTGGTATACCTTTTACTTGTTTAAAAAGTTGATTGTCAGATTTAATGTAATTATTAAAAATAATGCAGTGAAAGTAATTTTTCCATTTATTAAAGTCTAGAATAGTGAGAATTGGAAGAAAAAGTTTTGGAAGTTAAAGTAGACTGTTAAATAGGTCTTCTAATGGAAGAGAAGTATATAGGGTTTCATAAGTCATAATAGTTAACTTTTGTATATTGATAGTCTTTAAGGTATTAATTACAGCAGAGTTGCCGCTCTCCCGCTAACCCGATTTACCATATATTTCTCCTGACTTTTTCTTATTCTTAAAATTTCTCATGATTTTTATGGAACTTGGCTTAATACTTCGTTATATGAACAAAAAAAAAAAAAAAAAAAAAGTGATTTTGGACATCTGAAAGCAATTGAATTTTCTCTAGATTATATCCAAAACAAAACCTTGCGAATCAGATGAGAATTTCTGCTTTGTGAGTGAGAGCACACGTATCCAGAAACTTTGTTCTCCAATGGGCATAGAGCTCTACTGCATATCATCTGGCAAATATTAGCAAATGAGCACAAAGCAAGCTCAAAGCTGTTAGTTAGGCGACTCAGTCGCAGACTAGGTTCCTAGGCAGCAGCCTTACCCTGTGTATAACACGTGAGACTTGTACATAATTATTTTCTTTGCTATCATGAGAATGGGTGAGTGCTCTGAAAAGAGCAAATATGGAAGTTATTGAAGTTAAGTTCTTGGTGGATGCAATTATAACTATTTGGCATAAGTAGGATAGGCATACCTTGTTGAGGGAGTAGCTTGCAAGTATCCACATAAAGGTGATGCATTCATTTCGTCTCTCAAAGCGTAGTTACTCTTAGCCTGTCAGATGCTAAACTGAAGTCTCTGCTGCTCTCAGCGTGGTGAAGGTATAATGGCCAGGTGACTGCAGGAGCTAAAGCAATTGGAGAAAAGATAGGCATGGTGCGGTAATAACTATCGGCATGCAATGGTGGGGGAGGAGCTAGGGGAGGGTTTTCAGAGCCATACTAATTTTGGGATAGGATGAGCTGAAAAGAGGAGGGGCTAAGGTAATAGAAATTTATCAAGTCTTATTTCTAAGTTTAAGGCACAACATCCAAAGAATTAATTTTGTAACAGAGTTTAAGTTAAACAATTTTGCAGACTAACCATTAATTTTATAAGGTATTTCAAAATATACAAACAATCTATCTATGTTATAATTATGAGTTTTAAATTAGGAACATATTTTGTAAAAATCTGGATCATTTTAGATATGTTAGCCTGACCAAATATGCTATGAATTTCTTTCGTATATCTTAAGAATTCAAACATATCTGAGCCACTAGTGCTCTTATTACTAGAATTAAACATATTATTACTATTTACATTTTTATTTTCATTTCTATTTTCAGCCTGTAACAATTCAGCACTGGGGCATTTACTGTGTCCTCATTAGCTGCGCTATTAAGCCTGTTTGCAGAATTCAGAGCCTGGACAAAGCTGAGACCAGGTTTCACTTGGCTTTTCTTGATGTTAGCAGGTTTATATTTTGGAAATTTTGGGCACCCATGATACGACGATGGGTGCTGGTCTAAGCAGTTCACACAATTAGGATTATCTGTGCAACCTTTTATTGGGCATTCAGCAGTTCTGTGATTCTCAGCACATTTTTACACATCTGGGTTCGAAAAAACAATTCTCCGAGGAGTGGTGCCATTTTCGACAGTTCAAGGCTGTTATTTGGATGTTCTTTAGTTATTTCGTTCATCTTGTCCTGAGTCATGTGCCTTAGGGAAATAGTTTTATAAATTATCATCATTTGTTTTGTCTGCGAGAAAGGTGAAATACTCCTGTACGTTTCAAAAATTATACACAGTTGACTTTCCTTCCATTATTTCCGTAAGGAAACGTAATAAATTTGTGATGTGTACCGTCTGTTGTTGCGATTTTTCAGTTTCACATGGTGGATGGGCAGATGTTCTCAATCATGTGCATACACAAGGACAACATGAATAGTTTTGAAAAGAAACGATTTTTTTTTTTTTTTTTTTTTTTTTTTTTCAGAAACAAAGAACCAAAAAGTTATTAATGCAGAATGTCTGTTCTTTTTTTTTTTTTTTTTTTTTTTTACTACTGGAGCACAACTTTTTACTGAATACATCGGATTTATTTAGAAAAATGTTTCTCAATAGTGAAATTGCTAAGAAATACTCAGGTGCAATTGTTAAAGAAAAGGGTTTGAAAAATAAATATTCAGTTATTGATTGCATTAAAACAGCTCCATTCTGCCTCTCTACAGCTAGAGATGGAAGCAATAATACCGATTCAAAACTGTACCCAATTGTTGTTTCTTTTTTTAATCCAGAGTCATCAGAAA